TTTTTTACATTTTGTTATCCTTAATTTAGTTAAAACTTGTAAAATTAATTCATAAAATTTGTAATATAATTTTCATATTTTTGATTGCTTTCTATTTATTTTTGAGTGTTTCATCTTTTCTCTTCTTTTTTTATTATTTGATAATAAACAAGATATTACATTTATGCGTCTATTTATTATATAATCCAATTAATTTTACAAACATAAATGTTTTAAAGATATTAGTTATTCATTATTTTCTTAATGTAAATTTGCCAATATGTATTAATTAAATATTTTTTTCTTCATCTATCTAAATATCTATCTATCTATTAATATAATGTATTTAATTTTAGAATCAAAAAAGTTAAATTCGTTTAGATATTAATCATTCATTATATTTTTAATATAAATTTGTTAATAAATAATTAATTAAATATTTTTTCTTCATTTATCTATCTATTAATATAATGTATTTAATTTTAGATTCAAAAATGTTAAATTCGTTTAGATATTAAACATTCATTATATTCTTAATATAAATTTGCTTATAAATAATTAATTAAATATTTCATTCATCCATCCATCTGTTTGTATATCTATCTATTATATAATACAATTATTAATTTTACAGTCATAAATATTTAATTTGTTTTAATATTAATTATTCATTTTTTATTCATGATTTTCTCAAAATAAGATTTGCTTATAAATAATTAATTAAATATTTCCTTCATCTGTCTGACTAATTATCTATTATATAATGCAATGAATTAAATTAATTATTTATAAGCAAATCTTATATTAAGAAAATCATTAACATATAATGTATAATGAATATCAAAACGAATTTAATATTAAATATTTTCTCCCTAAAGTACTTTTATTAAGAAATAACATAATTAGCAAGACAAATGAATTAGATATAAAGTATCCAAGATCTTAAACTCAACTAAGAAGAATTCTTCATCCTATCAAACAAAAACTACAGAAGTTGTCCTAGACATCCTAATAATTGGATTGTTTCATTAAACACTAATCCTAATTCTAGTCAATTCATTCAATGCGCTTAATGTTTATCTGAGAATCCCAATTAATATTCTTTGAATTTAGTTGGACTCATTACGGAAAATGAAAAAACTGTTTTTAAGAACTACCCAGTTTATGGCGATAATGAGCTTTACGAAAAACTTAAGCAAATCTTTGAGGCTGATTGCTCTATTGATGGATTGCAATCTAAAATTTCATCTTTTTTCTTAAACTTAAGAAAGTAAATCGACCAAAAAATAATACTTAAAGAAGAACAAATGATGAGCTAAGCAAAGTCAATATAGAGCTTTAATGAACAGGTAATTATTTAACATAATAAATTAGCCGAAAAGGAATAGCTTAAGAATATCATTACCAATTTCAAAGATGACCTTGACAAGTAAAATGAGCTTTTTAAAGAATTGTTCACTCGAATTTCTACTAACTAGAAAAAATATTAAGAAGAATTGAATGAAAAGATTGATTTCTTCGAAACTTAAAAATCAATGATTAATTTTGAAACAGCAGAAAGTATTAACTAGAATATTTTGCAATTAATTGATTCAATTGATATGTTTGTTATCAAAAACTTTGAAGATCTCAAAATTGATAATTCAAAAGAAAAGTTAGAATTTTATGTAAAAGATATTTAAAGTAAAGACAAAAATGAAATGACAACAAGCTAGATAATAACTAAGCTAATTAGTAATAGATATAATTGTTGCTCTCAGGAGTTAACTAAAGAATTACAAAAAATAGTGTTCAAGTTATCAAACAGTATTGATAGAGTTGACATTAAAAACCTTTTAAATGAAGATTTATTAGAATTTGAATTTGATAAAATGAATGATGAATAATTTGATTAAATTAAGGAATTGTCTAGATACTTCATTACAGTAATATTTCTATATTAATTTTATGTACTTCATATCAATCTTTAATAACTTCATAATTACCACCCCAAAATAAATTTTAAATCTTTAACTCAATAATTCTAAAAAATTATAAAAAAACTGTAAATTATATTTTACATAGAATTAATTATGGTAAATAATTATTTAATCTCGTTATAAATGAATATGTTGTTTAAATATTATGAATTGTATGCAAATATGAAAAATTAAATAACAAAATATCTTTTAAAAATCATAAATTTAATTTTTTAAAAATTAATCTTTTTAACTTAAGACACTTGCTTTTAATTTTCAATTTTTGTGATTCTTCAATTTGATTGAGGCTTTAAATTATTTTAACAAAAAATAAAGCAATAAAATAATAATGTAAAAAATTAAAATGTTAATTAAAAACTAAAAACAAAAGTAAAAATTAATTGATTAATAAATTAAAAATCTCAAATAAAACAAAAAAAGAATCAAAATAATTTAAATTTAGGATAGATATTATTAATTGATTTTTTATGTAAATAAAAAATCTTATCAAAAATAAACACTTTTACGTTAGATCTAGTATCAAAATTTAAAGATTAATTGAGTCTTGTAAAACAGAGCATAATTCTAATGCTCCAATAGAGTCTATTTAATTGTATCTATTTATTTTTTCAACAACGAACGAAATATAATTATTTTAATTTTAAACTGAAAAAATAAATTTAATAAAAATAAAATAAAGAGAATAAAGTAAAAACAACACTAATAAATAAATAAAAATGGAATAAATAAGGTTTTATTTGTATAAAATATATTTAAAAACAACTCAATCAGACAAATAAAGTATTTTACTCAAGATTTAGATTTAAAACTAAGATTTTAGAACATTTTGCAAGAGCAGAGCACAAGTCTAATGCACCCTATGCACATATTTGATTGCAGCTTTTGATATATTCATGAGTTCAGAGGAATATTTTAATTAAATAAATGAAAAAATAAAAAGCTAAAAAATAAAATTTATGAATTGAAAATTTAAATGTTTGAAAAATAAATAAGTACATTTAAAATATAAAATAAAAGAAATCAATAAAATAGAAAATAGTAAATAACTGTATTTTTATTGCCTTAAATTAATTTTATATAAAAAAATAATTAAATCTAAAAAATTTAAGCTATTTATTTATTTATACGAGAGATTTAGTTTCAAAATTGAGATACTATTGCTTTTTGCTAAAGCAGAACCTAGACCTGATGCACCCACGTCATCAATTTAGTTATCACTTTTTATTAATTCATTACAAAGATTTTTTTGATATAAAAAAATTTTTTTTAATGCTAAAAATCACAAATAAAATCTATAAATAAATAATTAAATTAGAAACTTCAAAATAAATTTAAAATTTTACCTTAGATCTAATGTTAAATTAGAGATATTGTTGGATTTTGTTAAAACATTTAATAATTCTGATGCAGCCTATGAACCAATTAAATTATCACTTTTTTTATGTTTAAGCATACAATAAAATATTATGAAATAATAAATTGTAGACATGAAAAAGTAAAAGTAGAAAATTGAATGATATTTGTAAAAATTAAATTTAAGTATGATTAATTAAACTTGAATAAAAATAAAAATATTTAAGTAAAAAACTAATTAAAATATTATTATAGTGAATTATTTTTTTGTAAAAAATAACTCAATTAAAAAAAATATACTATTTTATTTACTAGAGATTAAGTGACAACGTTGATATATTAGTGCATTTTGCCAAAGAGTTGCATAGCATTAACGCACCTTATGAGCAAATAGAGTTGTAACTTATTATATATTCAATATAAATTTATTTCTATATACCTTGAATTTTCATTAACTAAGGACGGTTGACAAAATATTTTTTCTAATAAATTGATTAAATTAAATTTTTGTTTAGGCCATAAAAGTGATCCAAATAAACCCCTTAATTAATGAAAATTTAAGGTTTTGTTTAAATATATTTTAGGCTAATCACAAATTTTAAATAAAAAATTCTAAAATCAGAATTCTTTACAATAAAATTTTAACAGAATTTGTTTAGAATTAATGTATCTGTTTTTTAGTTAATATTTTTAACACTATTTCTTCCTTTCTTTTATAAGTATTTATTTATATTTAAAATTGATATTCTTTTACTTACATTTTAATTAGTTAATTAAAGATGATATAATACATAACCTTTTTCTCTTAAGTTATCCTTATTAAACAAATTCTAATAAATTTTCTTTCTAATAATGGCTTAATAAGTATTTTACCTTAATTTAGTTAATGAGAATGCACGATAAGTTTAAAATTTAAAGTAAATGATATTTAAAGAAGTAAATTCAATTTTTATTAAACAATTAAATGACAAAGCCAAGTAAAAAAAAATAAATTTATTTTTACATGAGATATAGAGCCAAATTTTAAAGGCTAGCACAATTTATAAAAGCTTAACCTAAATATTATGCACCAAATTCACCAATTCTATTATAACTTTTTTAAATGTTTTCAAAAATTTTGGTTTTAATTAAGCAATCTGAAGAAATATTAAAAGACTAATGCTAAAATTAAAAGAACACTCAAAAATTAGCAAAAATAAACTAATTAATTGAAATTTTATCAAAATATAACAAAAAATAAACCTATTAAGCCAAAGAAAAAAGATAATATTTTAGGTTTAAATTTACATTAAAAAAGATAAATAAATAAGTAAATAAATTTTGTAATTTTACCTAAGGTCTAGAGTCAAGTTTGAAAGGTTTTTGAAATTACTTAAAGCAGAACCTAAAGCTAATCCACCCTATTCATCTATTAAATTGTCACTTTTTATTTGTTTGAGGTTAAGTTTATTATTTGATATGAAAAACAAGAAGAAAATTGTGAAAAAAAAATCAAAAATTTAATTCACATCATAAATTTAAATAGAAATAATTAAAAAAAATAAGTTTTGTTAAAAATTAAATTCAAATAAAGAAAAAATAAACTAAGTTAAAATTGAAAGTGCTAATAAATAATTAAAAAAAATATTCTTAAAGAATTAATCAAAATAAAAGTAAAACAGTAATAAATACTAAAGTTTCAGCATCAAAATTGAGATATTAGGACAACTTGCTAAAGTTAAAACTAAATCTTTTGCAGTTAATGTATCAATTTAATTGTAGCTTTTTATATATTTAACATAATATTATAAGTTAACTCAACAAAATATTAAACAATAAAAACAAACTTAAATATCAAAGCTTAAAGGCAAATTTGGAAAAATAAATAAATAAATAAAAATAGAGTTTCTAACACATAAAAAGGAAAATAGAAATAAAAAATATAGAGTAGGAAGAATTCTTTATTTGAATGGCAATTCATTTTTTGTAAAAAATTAATTACATTAAAAACTCTTCTTTCTACTCAATTTTACCTTTAAAATTGTATGTTTGTTAAAATTTCCTTAAATCATCAAAACTAAATTTAATTAGTTTTTGAAACATGCTTAATAACCAACCACATCAATTTTCCAATTTAAAAAATTTGTAGTTTAAAATAAGCAATAAGCCACACACCCATACAAACTCTAATTATTAAACTAGTAAACTCAAGAATAATCAAAATAAATCAGACAAAAATTTATTAAACAAATATTTTTGCTTTAAATTAAACTTGTATAAAATAAAAATCTTTTTATACTCAAAATGCAGAGTCAAATTTTAGAGATTCTAGCAGTCTGCTAATTCAGAGCCTAGACCAAATGTATTTTGTGTACCAATTTAATTGTAACTTTAAAATACAAAATATAATATATGACTAGCTAAATTAAATAGATCAAAAGGAAATATAAATCAAGCAAAAAACAACAATTTGAAAATCAAAAGATCTTCTTCAATCCAAAAAATAAATAAGCCATAAATTTTAGTAAAATGAAAATTAAAAAGAAGAGTCTTATTATTTTAATAAAAGAAAATAAAAAATTAATAAAATATTATTAACCTTAGATCTAGATTTAAAATCGAGAGCTATTTGCAATTTTTTAAAGCAGAAAATATTTTTGATGCACCTGTTGCTCCAATCTTATTTTTGCTTTTTATGTATTCAAAAAGAGTTAGTTAAGTAAGACCAAAAAATAGAAGTTAAATAATAAATATTTACAGCAAGCAAAAGAAAAAATGTCAAAAAGAAATAAATGAATAGATTATTTTCTTTAAAATTAATTTGTAAAAGATAATAAACAAATAAACTATTTTTACCATAAATTGAGCATTAAATTTGAGAGAAAGGTGCAGCTTGCTAAGGTCGAACATAAAATTGATACATCCTTAAAAAGAATTTTGTTGTTACTTTAAACATTTTAAAATAAATTTATTAGTTAGAATGAAATAGATGCTAATTAGAGCTATTGCAAAAAAAATTTAAAACAAGCAAAAATGAGCAAATAGACAATAAAAAAGAGAAAGTAAAACAAACTATGAAAATTTTTGATGGCAATAATTCAATATTTTTTGATCAGAAAAATTAAAAATAAATTTTATTTTAATTTACCTAAAATTAATTTCAAGATATATATGTTCTTAAAGTGAAGAACTTAAAAGCTTTTTTTTTAAATAAAAATAAAATTAAATATAGTTAATAAATATTAAAATTATTAAATTACATCTTCTAGTTTTTCAAAGTATTTTTTCTGTTATATCATTTTTTTTTGTATTCTAAAATTAAAATTTATCAAAATTTTCTTTTTTATAAACTTGCATTCCAAATTAAATTTTATCTAATACCAAAAGGCTGTTTTTGAATAAATAAACAAATAAATTGCAAATATTTTTAAATTAAGAACAAAAGAATTTAATAATCTGAATATTTATCGTTTTATTATTAATGATATATTTATTATATATAGATTAAATATTTTAAGTTTTAATATAAGAATATAATAATCCCATTAAAATAGAAGCTTTCTATTGTAAAATTTATATCTTTTTAAAAGGTAATCTTATATTTTTATTTATAAAATATGCTAGTTAGTATCTATTTTTAGTTTCAAA